GTATGCCATTGCATTACACAATTTATTGAAGGTGATTAAGCAGTATTTATGAAGTAGGTGTAGTTGTAAAACCAGGCCTTATTTTATATATTTAAATATTTTTTCAAACCAGAATACATGTGAAAATTAGAAAACTCACAACTACATTTGCTACTCTCATTATAGCATGGGAAGCCTGAAACTTTCTGAAACCCTGTACATATTTCCCACAATTGAAAAGCCTTGTGTCTCAGGCAAAGTAAAGTATGTAGGGAGAGGCAATATTGTAGGTACTAAATACAAGTTCCACATTTTTCTTTTAATTGCGAAGCAAATTTGGACTTGATTATGCTTCTGGGTAAGCTTCTCCTTCCCACCACCCTGCAAATGCTGTATTCCAGCTCCCAGTCCAGTATCCAGTGAATTAAAGGCTCTGAATAAACAGGTTTTTCCTGAAAGGATGTTGCTGTATGCCGCCCCGATCATCTTTTATAGCTTCACCAGGGAACAATAAGAAAAAGCTGGAAAAGTTAAGTGACGCATAACATAGGAGTTTGTCTGGGAGGGAGCACTTCTGGTTTAGTTGAACTTTTTTTAAGTGTTAGAAATTACAGACCTTTATAAAAATTTCCAGTAACACGTCTGATTTTATTTTAGCCACATATTAAGTTTTTTACGTATCTTCTAGAAATTATTTTCCACAATATCTTGAGTTCTCAATCTTTATGCTGGGCTGCTAAGTATGCAATTTTCAAAGCAAAATGCATAATAAAAGTAACTCCTTTTAATCTTAGGAAAATACAAACATAATTCAAATAGCTTCTAACAAAAGCTCTCTTTAAAAAGAAACCCTGAGGTCAAAAACGCACAGGAGGGCCAAAGCCAAAGTATTAACATCAGTAGTAAGTTTATAAAACAAGAACAGTGTTAACTTCCACAGTACTTAACTTGTGCATGTCATACCACATTAGAGTGTTTCTAATTCCACAGATCAGTAGCTGTGGGGAACAGCATACAAAACACTAATTACTACACAGCTGATGTAGTTACAGAAAAATGGGTGAACAGACATTTAAAAATCCAACTTCAAGTATTTATTCTATTTTAAAAAGATAGCTTGAAATTTTTTTGAATAATTGCTGTTGCTAGACTAAAAACTCTGCAAAGTTTTCTGCAAAACAAGTAGCCTTATTTTATGCAATCATCACGATTTATGAAAAGGTTTCTCAAAAACAAAGAACAAATATTAAAATAAAGAGGCATGGTAAAGAAAGTTATTTGCAAAATTCCTTCAAGAGGGAAGATTGGCAAATGCATTCAAGAGGTTATTTTTTAATTCCAGTTCCCTGTGAATTTGTTTAATGCACTTATTAAACCAACCCATTTCTATGGGCAAACAAATTATGACGTATAGCTCAGAATTAAAACACATTCTGTAATCACGTATGTGTTTTCTCAAACATTCCGTATCTGCCTGGGGGAAGAGAAAGTCTCTCTGGCACAGACCCTCAGTGGATTTGGAAGGGGTTATATACCTGGAAACTAGCCACAGTAGAAGAAAGGAAAAAACATTTTGAACAAGTGGATATAATGAACTGCTCTCATGTACAAAATTCTTTGAAACGGGCAGTTATTTTCAAGCCTGATTCCAGGAAGAAACACAAATTATTTTTAAGCATTTTTACAGAAAGCTGAACACTATTGCTTAACTTGCTTGTGCCTTCAAAGACCAGTTTAAAAAACATCGTCACGCATTTGAAGATGAGATCTGGAAACCTGGAAATGCCTATCAAAGCAAGATTTATGCATTGCATAACAGGCAGGATGTTCCACTCTCGTGAGGAAGTACAAGTACATAGCAAAAGGAAAGCCAAAACAATCTTGAAGGCAATGCTGCAGTAAAATACAATTACTGAGCACCTAGTTTGTCAGTGCTGCTGGGAGAGAAGTAGAAGGAATTATTTTTAAATCAGTAACTTCGTAAGATGCAATAGGCACGGTCAAAGCATTTTCATTTATTAATGTTCAGGGAAGGCTGTTATATCCAAGACTCCTCTTTTTTTTTTTTTTCCCCAATAATTCAGGAACCATTTTTTCATTTGGAGACCATTTCCTTTTCAAATGAACGCACAAAGAACAATGGCTTTTCTCTTTTCAAAAGATCTTTGAAGAGAGAAGCCTGCCCAGTGGCTAAAGCAAAATATCAAAACTTAATTTCATCAACAGATCTGGTAACAGTCTTCTCTGACCTTGATTCCAGTTCGATCTCTGCAACAAGAGGTTCCTACAGACATGGTACTTCTGAAATGTTATGAGATAGAATTCCAAATGAAAAACACTTAGAACAAAAAGCACAATGTTTTGCATGCAGCTCTCAAAACCAAGCAAGCAATCATCAAATTACAAGATTATCAAACAGATCACTATAGTATTTTCCTTTCATCTGCACCATTTGGAATGCCCACTTCATCCCAAGCATCTAAGGACCACAGGCAGAAATATTTGAAGTGAGCAGTAGTTCACGTTAGTGGCTTATAGGGACATGATGCAATGTTGTCCTCTCCGAAGAGGAAACGAGCACTTAGTTACCCTATGATTCCCATCAAAACATAGACTTGTGTTTCACCAAGCTGTGGAGTAGAGACAACCTTTGAGAAAAAAGAAAGTGATCCCTAAATATTTGCAATTGCTGGTTTACATCTTGCCTTCTAAAGAAACTAATTTTCACTAGATTGCAGCAACACTTGTTAATGATTTAAGCAGCAAAACATAAATATTAAATGAAAGGGATAGTTGTATCAAATTACTCCATTATGTTGCTGCAGCAAAGACAGCTTTCAATTATTTCCTAAACAGGAATCTAAGAAGATTCCAGTAACAAAATAGCCTTGTCCGGTACATGATTGTATCATCAAAGATTGTTCATATATATATATATCTGCATGAACACAAATATAAAATAAGCAAAATTCCTTATTTCTGCTTTGAGTCAGGCATACAATCAGCATAATGAAGAAAAAATAGAAAGACATCAAAGGTCAAGTTTTACATCATTTGCTTCCAGTGATTCAAAAATTCAACACACAAATAACTAAGTGACCAAAGGAGCTAAAGATTTTATACAAGGGGAAAAAAAAAAAAAAAAGTTATAAAAAGCAGTTGTCCAAGATGGCTTCAAAATCAATCAGCATCTTTCTAGGTCTGCAGTGCTGAAGTCCTGTTTTGCTGCCCTGCCCTTTTCTTCACAGAAGTGATAGTAACAGACTGGAAAGCACTTCACTCCAACACTTCCCTTTTCTTGGCATGAAGGAGTGTCAGACTTGGTCTTGACATGTACAGCTCCATCTTCGTGTTTATGTAAACAGATACCAACATGCTACACAAAGCTTATTCTTTACCATGATCAAAATACCTGTGTCTGATATTTTATGTTTGGAACACAACCCAGAAGTCAAGGTTGACTTTGCCAATTTCCTGAAATTTCCTTGACGTCAAACCAAGCACTTCTACCACTGCATATATATTTGGGGCTTAAACACAGCAGCAAGGACACACTTGATCTCATTCTGTCACTCTGAACACCAGCTATGTGTCAGGGTACAGAATGAATTAAACTGTGAGCCAAGTCTCACTGCAGCGAGTCTGAAAAAAGACCGACTCCAGCAGTGTCCCTTTTTCTAGTGGTTTCAGTGTACAAACTTGGTATGCCGGATACCGGTTCATTATATTAATTACAAATCCTGATGGTAAAATCAATTCTTACTATGCATTCTAAATTTACAAGGGCTCTACCTGATACTGAACCAGCTAGTAGCTCTGCAGTAGAAAAAAGGTCTCCAATGGAAAGTTATTGCCAGCAGCTGCTCTGTTGTCAGAAGGCTGCATAGGCAGGCCCTGCAAACCAAACAGAAACTGAACAGTTTACGAAGGAGAACTGAGCCATTCCTACGTCTGAATCCACAAAGTCATTATTAAATATATTTCTATTTCTTTAGGGTGGTTTATAACACAAGACATATTGCACGCTTTTTATCTACAGATCTTTCAAATTATTTTAAAGTAGGTCACCCTGGTGCTTACAGCATGGCTAGAAATACTGCAATCATTTTGAAATTTTTACTTCTGCCCTCATTTGAAGATCTTGAAACCCAACCCTCTAAATGTGAAAGAACTCTTGAGTTTTTGGATCCACCCCAAAGGGTTTACAAGAGGCACACACACACACCTAAGAGCTAGATTTAACTAGTGGTCAGACGAAGAGTACTTCTGGTTTCATTTTTACTGCAAATTAGGCTCAACATTATATAGTTCTTTTCAAATTCATAAAAAGTCAGCCTAGAAGGAGAGACTGAACTGCCTGACAACCTGCCTCCTGCCAGGATGAGGCCATATTAAAATACAGGAGACCACCAACTGACACTCATCCAGATCTATTTTTGGCGATGATTTAATGGCCTATAACCAAAATTTGCTGCCATCACTGAGGAAAACAAACTGCGTTGAGTACCATCGTGTAAAATAAAGTTTCCAAAGAATGCTATAAAAATTATGTCACATTTCAAGTCCATATGATACTGTAAAACAAAATACAATTAAATACTTTTCCTCAGATGTTGTACATTCTGAAATACTTTCGAAGGCCTCAGATCTTTCAAACTTCATCAGACAGCACTTTTTTCCTTACTCCTTTTTGTAGATACACTTGCTGCTTGTAACTAAATTTGTTCATCAGCTATTTCTGAATGTGTGTAACTATTACGCTGAAGGAAACTGGCTAATACAGATGTGTGGTGGGCAACAGATATTTATATGACCACCACTGTTAAAAAAATACAACATGATTCACAGCTCAGAGCATAATTCACACTATGACATTTCAAGTTAGTCATGTATTTTTTTTTAGTAGCTGCAAGCACAGAAGTCATACAATCAGACTGTACTGTTCAAACACCCGACACCTTTCTAGGGGATTTTAAAGCATATACATGTTATTTTTCTTATGGATTTAACAGCATGCTCACCTGAAAAGGAAAAATGTTGTCAGCTCTATTCAAACTGTCTTCCATCCATGATTTTGGAGCAAAGGCTGAACTGGGTCGAGCGTATTTCTGCAACTGGATATGATTACTTGCAAAATTCTTCTTTAAGGGCGAGATGGAGTTCAAGGGTGTTATCCCTCCGTTCAGTCCCCTGCGGTGGTCTCGACCTTGGGACCCACCCCACCCACCATATCCACCACCACCAGGGCTCCATGAAGATGGTGTAGGCGATGGACTTTGGTAGCTGCTCCATGGAGAAGGTGGCTTGTTAAGATTATTAGCCAAATGAGGCAACTGATTAAAAGCAGCATTTCTATGTGTGAATGGAGGTGGGTGAGGACTTGCAGGAGACCTCCTCTGTTGCTGATGCTGATTGTGATGATGCTGAAAATGAGGGTGATGAGGGTGGTGTTGAGAGAGGGGTCCAATTTGGGGGGAAAAGCTACCACCAAAGCCAGGGCTGACGTGATGTGGAAAATTCTGAAACAGCAGAGCACCATTATTAGCTGAGGCTGTAGGGACCCCTCCCTGGTGAAAAAAACTTGCATCTTCATTGATTATTGTAGAAGAAGAAGGAGCTATAGCTGCAGACCAGTTACTAAAACCAGTCAGAGAAGATGCAGTGGATGTCAAAGGCTGCGTCGAAGTACCTAGCCCCGAAGCCTCTTGATAATCAAATCCTGTTAACACCGGCGATTCTATTCTTATTTTCTCCTTTCCATTGCCGTTGTCTGAAGAATTATCGCCCTGATTTTCTTCTGTTTTAGCTTTCTCAGGTTCAGGGAGCATGCCTGCTTCCTGACTTTGACCAGGGGAAAGCTGCTGTTTTTCTAGGGACTCTTGCTTTTCCTGTTGCTGAGTTTTAGATTTTTCTGACCCTAGAATCTCATCCTGAATATTATGGGCAGCTGGAGCAGGAAAGAGCCAAGCTGACCCAGCACTACTGCCATTGGCAGCTGTGTTATTATTTATAAAAGCAGCAGGGCTGGGGGTTGCATTTTGATGATGGTGTGGAGGCTGCAGATGTGGATGGAATCTGACTGGAAAAGCTGACTTATTTCCAGTGTTGTTTTGCACTAACACTCCAAACCCGTAATCCCCCATTTATTATATTTAGGGTTTGAATTCTCCCTGTAAGAACAAGTTGATGTTTAGTGTTTACCTCGTCCTCTGAGGCAGGATTAGTAAGTATCCTGGTTTTAGCTAAATATTCCAGTTTCTCCCTCCACTCTATTTATTTCAGATTTGGATAAAGATGCTTGGGTTTTTTTTGCAAAAGATAGATGTCTTCAACTATTTAAATGTGTCAATTTATGTCCGTTTCCTTCCTTTGGCTAGGAGGAAGGGAAAAATAAATCTTTGGTTCACAAAATAAGAGGTTTCCTTTCTCTAAAGGAAATGCACAGCAATGAGAGAAAAAGCTTCTGGGGAATAAGGATAAAGAGATTCTAACTATCCTGTTTTTTTCCTCCTCAGCAGCCTAGACTCGCCCATAAATGAGTTAAGAGGGAAGAAAAAAAAAAAATACACAATGACGTCTGGTCCCCCGACCCCTTGGCAGCAAAAAATAGATTTAAATCTGGAATAATTTAATACATCTCTATAATCTAATATATATTTGTGTCCTGTTCAAAAAGAGTCTTTGCTGTGGATAAGGGAAAAATTTACCTCAGGATCTCAGCATTCACAAGGGTGAAAAGGGGGAGTGAGTTGCAGAAGAAGCTTTTTCCCGTGCTGCTGGGTTCAACCTATTATATTTAGTAATAATATACACTCTCTGTGTGTGCGCGTGTGGTTGTTTAAAGGGGTAAGATCTTATCTCAGGAAATTAGTATTCTGTGTGTGTTGGGTGGGGAGTGAGTTGTGCAGAAGGGTGGATTCTTGATGCTGCTCCTTTTGGGCTGGGTTTCTGAGCTCGCCAGACTCGCTTCTTATTTATGATCCAATATTTGCGTGTCCCTCATATGAGTCCTGGCTGTCCGAAGAGGAAGATTTTCATCTCAGAAATCAGCATTCAGCGTTCGGGAAAAGGGAAGGGAGGGAACAGTTGTGCAGGAGGAAGGGGAAAGAGATTTTCTTGCTCTCACTGCTGCTGGGAGGGTGGTTTCTGGTGCGGGGCTCGCCTCCTTCCACCGAGATATGGGGGTTCCCTGCAGGCGAGCGAGCCCCTGCCTGAAAGGCCGGGTGGATATGCGTGTATGTGGTTTTCCTCCTCAGGGACTCGGCATCCAGCGGGGCAGGGGCGGGCGGCGCAGGCTGGCCAGGCCCCGGCTCTCTGTGGGTGCCCCCCGCGGTGTCCCCCCTCCCTCGCAAGAGTCCTGGTGTCGGGGAAGGCAGGAGGGATTTTTTTTTTTACCTCAGGAGAGGAGCAGCCTCCGGCAGGGAGGGGAAGGTGCAGGCGGCGGGGGGCCGGGCTCCTCTCTCCCCCATGGAAGGTGTTTAACCGGTTCTCCCAAATCGCCCGGAGATTACGGGACAGGGTCTCGGCCGCTGGGCGCAGCGGAGGGGGGGCCCGGCGGACTAACCGGGGAGCGGGGTCCGGCGGCGGCGGCGGCTCCTCGGAGCAGTCCTTCCCCTGCTGCGCGTCTTCTCGGCTCCAGGCGGGCTTCCTTCCCCCTCATGTAAGCCGGCCGGGCACCGGGAGGGTCGCCGCGGGGGACGCTGCTGCCGGGAGGTGGAAGGAAGCGGGGGGGGGGAGGGTGGGGAGGCTCCACGGGCGAGAGCGACAGGAGAGGGGAGAGAGCTGCCGCCACACCGGCTGCGGCGAGTCGAGAGGCGCTTCGGTAGCCGGGAAGCCCTGCCGCGACGAGTCCTCCGCACGGAGCCTCCGCTGCTGCTGCCGCCGCCTTGTTTCGCCTTTTTTTTTTTTTTTCTTCTCTTTCTGTCTTCTTTCCCCTCCCCCCACCCCCCCAGCGGCCGCCGCTTCCTGCCTCGGTGCCGCAGCCGGTGCCTCCCTCCTCCTCCCCACCCGGCCGCTGCCGAGCCCCGTCTCCTCAGGACCGAGCTGCCGCACGAAATGACAACCAGCTGGAGGAGGCAGCGCGCCACTTCCGGTTCGGCGCCGGGCGCGCCCCCGCCCCGCCCCCGGGCCCGGCTCCCCACCCGGCGGAGGCCCCACCCCGCGCCGCCATTTTTGTTAGGGGCAAGGGAACACCCCCCTGGCTTGAGGCTGCCACTTTTGTTTTGGGCGCGTCACCCGCAGCTCGGTAGCCATCCTAAGTATGGGCAAAAGATCAGAAGGACGCCGGCGGGGCGACCATCTTGGGCGGCGGGAGCGCGGTTCTCGCCGCGAGCAGCCATCTTTGTCCAGGGCAGGTCGTGCTCCCCGGCGCAGGGCTGGCGGCGGGGCTGGTCCTGGCAGGCCGGGCTGGTTGGGGGCACCCGAAGGCAGTGTTCATTGACAGTCATCCCCTGCTGTAATATCATGGCTAATATCTAAACCCCAAATCCTATCCGAAACGCTGCCCGTTTGTAACACCCTTCCTCACCCAAGGGCTGAGGCCCCTCTATAGCGAATCTTCCCTAAATCACTCAGGCCTGGGCCCCCACATTCGGGTGATCTCCCACCAGGAATGTAAAATCAGCAAAATAATGCAACAAAATGTTCAGAGGGCAACTTCTGTGGCGAAAATACTACGACACCTGTCTTCTGCTTGTTTTCTAGCTCTTGAAACATGGCAATCTAATGCTGAGTGTTATATTAAAAATCTGTGAAAAACTTGGGGAGAATTTTCCAAGATTGTAATTCTGAAAGTCTGCTGAAACTCCGACTCACTTAGGTACTTTAAAGGCTTTCCCAAATAATTTGTTAAGTTGGTTTTAAAAAAGGAAAAAAAAAAACAGTGAAAGATATGAACAGACAGAAGCAAATAAATGGGCAGTAAGTGAGAGTTAATCAGGGATGGTTTCTGCTGCCAGGCCCACACTGTGCTGTCTGGGTCCTCCCCATCCAGTGTGAGGGGAATTGTCAGCAATCTGAAGAGGGATTTTTCTGACTTTCAGCTGTATTTGTCAATGAAGGGACAGGCGGTTTGGGCTGTGACAGTCTTGTCTTTTGGGATGATGGATGAGGCCATTACAGTGTTTTAAGCGCTCTGGAGGTGTTTATGGGGAGGGGGGTTTTCAGAGGTGTGGTCACACTGAAGTACAGCTCTCAGAGCTGGAGTGGTGGTGGGAAGAGAGGAGCTTTGTTGTGTTACTCTGATATCTTTTGAACTTTCATGTGGCTGGGGTAGTGCCTCCTGGACCACCATACCTTCACCTCAGCCTGGTGTAAAGCTGGCTCAAGTGTGTGGCATTTTAGGATGGAGTGCCCCAGCAAGAAACTGTTCTAGTAACTAGTACAAAGGCCATAGTTTCTAATATACTTTAGGAAGTTCTGGATTGAAAGTGAATGCATATTACAGCAAGTTGTACAACATAAAGTAATTGTTTCAGCATGTATTTTATAGAGCTCTGTTATTTATTAAATGCTTAGTGATTATTACTTCATAACACATAGCAAATCTGTATGAAAGCAATGGGCTTGGTTGTCCCCGGCTGCCAGGATTACAAGGTGGAATTCCAGTTTTACTTCAACTACAGTTACCAAAGGATAACACCACACATTGCACATCTGATTGGCTTTTTGTATATACAGTTATGTGTCTGTAGGCACAACCATGGGTCCAAAACTGACGTGCACTTTAGAATTTATTCTTGCACAGGAGTGTGTATTGTTCAAGAGCAAGCATCAAAATACTTGTCTACTATAGATCCATTCTGTAAAATAGTTACTTTCTGGGATGGGTGCTCTTTTTGCACATCTACAAATTAAAATATATAAATAAAATATAGTTCAAAATTAAATAACAAAAAATAGTGAAATTAAAATAGCTATATGTAGATACACCAGTGGAAAAATCAAGAGAAAAAAGAAACATGCAGAAACATTTCCTGAATAAATTTAATTTAGTAGTGGGGTGTCCACCACTACATCCTCCAAGACTCTTTCCAGCCTACTCAGTCACCTGACTGTAAGTTCGGATGATACAAATACTTTTACCAAACCTTGTCTTTCTCAACAATTTTATTAAATAAACTTTTTTCTTTGCAATCGTGTATATCCTTTTCCATGGGTGAAAATTGACTTGTTTATATGTGGTGAAAACATCACTGTTTGTGAGGATATAATTACTGGGTTATAATTTCCGTTTTAGTTTACTGTTTGCAACCTATGTGAGCCCATCTGATACTAAGTATTATTTTCCTCTGTATTTTTCTAGTCATACTGTTACTATCATCATCATCAGATTCAAGGTTAACAAGCACTTTTGTCAAGAAGCTATGAACCTGGCTCCAGCAGTAGATTGTTATTACGTGAATAGTTTGGGAAAGACTGAGTAGATGGCCTTCATGTAATTTCAGGCACACCCTTGCAGTGCATTAGGGTAGATACAGATCAACTAGAGTGGTATGAGCAGAACTTCCAAAATCTGACTTTAATCACTTTGCTTGACAAACATGGTTTTCTGAAGCCATGGGAGGTTTCTTAATGGCTGACATTTTGATGGTATCAGCTGCCCAGCAGGATTTGTGTCATTTTATTCAACCTCTCTGTGGAAAAATGCCTGAACAATATGCAGAGATTACAGTCACTACATCAGCTGCAAAGAAGAATAAATCACCAAAGAAAGTCAGTAGTGTCTGTAAGTGCATTTAACAACCTGTGAGGAAGTTGCCACTTTGACGGCTGGATGATGTAAAGAGAGTCTCAAATAATGTGTCTGAGCTTTATTTGGAATGCATGAGAACCAACAGGATTTTACTAATCATCAAATCAACTACCTGATTAGTTTTAATTTTTGTCCCAACATTTTAAAATTAATTACTTTTAATAATAATAGAATTTTATTTGCTACCTTCTTTTTCTGGGAGAGGATCTTCCTTTCCCAGCTGTCTAACACTGCAAAACCAAGCTAGTTTCCATGGAGTGATGAAGATGTTGTTGTTACTTTTCATTACAGACACACTAAAATAGTGACAAGCATTCCTAAAAACTTTCTGATTGCTCTAATTCAACAGAAAGCTAATGGTATAAAGAAGGGTTTTTTAAATCACTCAAGCCATAAGCTCTTTGTACAGTCTGTACAAATCTTTGTACAGTCAAATTAATCCTTTATCACATAGTAAGTGACACACTGATTTTTCTGTAGTTTATGCCATGACCTAACTTTTGTATGAAACATGAAAGATAGGATCCAAAGAATTAAATAACCCAAACTGTTGGACA